TATTACAAAATTAATTTATACACCTAATAAAATAACCAAACTCACGGAGATTAGCTCACATTAAAAAAGAAATGTATGCGAAATGTCGCGAATATATTCCAGCGAAGCTAAAATAAAGATTGAAATGTTTTGAATGGCTCGTGTTGATAATAAAAATAACTGTGGCAACGGACACGAACACGTTGATAGTGGTCACTGTAGTCGCTATAGATAACAAAGAAAATCTCGGATCCGTTTCTCGATGTAAATTCAACTGCCGACAATGCTCAATAAACTGAACCATAAAACGAAGCATTCAGTCGCTCACACGTAAATACTTAGCTGCGCCTAATTTTCGTAAACGAACCAAGTATAATCACATTCCACGGAATTCTGCCTTCCATACCCTCTCTATCCTTGGCTCTTCCCATTCGCGAGAAATACGAACGCGTACTCCGATCATTTAACGGTGGGACACGGCGTATCTACGGGCATACGTAACTATAAGTCGGTTAAAAATAGAATCTCGCGTTAAATAATCGTAGATGAAACTCGAAAACGAAACAAGCATCGAGTTATCCATTGATCTTCCAAGTTCGATCCAAACTACTGTAATTACAGTTACGTAAGATCACTTACTTAACACTCTATAACCGGAACTTCGTTTTTTGTAGAATTGAAATTTATATAGTTTCTGGCTTTGGTTTGAAAACTAAGAATTAATAATCGGATAGTATGAACAGACTACTTAGTATCGAAATAACGATATAGTGGCATACAAGTTTCCAGGCAGATAAATTTTTTACTTTGACAAATCTATTCTGAAAATAAGATCTAAACGAATTTTAACTAATGTTGGATATAGAACATGATAGAATTTATTTGTCGTAGAATCCTTTTTATTTTAAATTTTATGCTCTTACGTTTTAACGTGGAATTATTCTCGGGATTACTACGTCTCGTATATATGTGTGTGCGACATTCATACGATAATCACTTATTATTCACGTTATAGTACCACGCCATAATAATTTGCTTATAATTCTCAATGAGAATTGATTGTAAAATTCTTTCAAATAAAACAAAAATGTGTGCGACATTTAAGTACTTTAATTATAGTGTTCGGGTTAGTAGTAAAACGACAGAGATTTTGATACGTCTTATTTCATAATTGATATTAAAGCAACGAGTAGTTAATTAGTATGTAATAAAAGTAAAAATTGCAAAGCGACTAGCTGCGACATACTTATTTCCTACCTTTGTGCAAAAAGAACTAAAACAAGAGTTAACTTAAAACTAGTTATTGATCCGAAGTCTTAACTACGTCAAATATTTAATATTAACGTGTTGTCTGACCATCGATTGTTTTCTATGTTTTATCACTTGCGCTCGCAGTGAAATTTTAATTTTCATACAGCATTCTTTTTATCGGGTTATTAAAGATATTTATTGTACTTTTTCGAAAGAACTTTGAAATAAAATTTGGTTCCATCGATCATATGAAATAGAGAATTTCTGAAACCTTGATATTTCTCTTTACCATATGATCCACCTTATATGGAATAATATTATTTGCCTAAAAACACAACAAACATTTTAAGCGATTTAAATCATTTTCACAATTCCAATCACCGATGATAAAAGATGAAACTTTCGACCAATAAATTTAAAAAAAAGAATGAAATTACAACAAACACTCAGCATAATAGCTTCCTACATTTAAATAAAAATTAATAAAAAATGAAATGTGAAGAATACAACAAATCCAGAAGATACAACTTTCCATCTATCTATGATTCTGCATAACATTTGCTCTACATACTTCAAAGTTTGCCCAAAGCTAAATATTAAATATCGAAAATTAAACATCAAAAACAAGTCAAATATCAAGGAATTCAGAGCGATGTTCCTCGCCCCACTTATCATTCCATACTCTCCCATAACATTTGTTCTCATTCCTCCAAGATTCCTCCAAAACTGTTAATTTCCTCCGGAACATGAAGTGAATTCTTTGCAAAATCTTTGGAGAAATCTAAATTTCTAATCTATTCATCAGAGATGAATAGCCAGAGGGATGCACCGGACCGTGCAGAATTGAAATGTAAACCAGACGAGTCTTGACTTCTGCGGGCGTAAAGTTTCGATTGCTGCAACGTCCCCTGTGATACGTAATCGTGGAAAGCGAAAAAAAAGAGGAAAAAGCTCGAACGGAAGGAAGAAGAGGCGAACGTCTTTACATCGAGGCTGGTTCGCGAAAGGTTGTAGACCTTGCTTGTATGTATTATTAACGCGGTGTACATCGATTTTGTCTGCCTGCCTCCGTAAACTCATTTCCATCGCCGCGGAAACGCTCTTCGAAACGAATCGATCTACCGTCGAGGATTTTCTCAACACCTCACCAAAGAGAAATCGACGTGAATCGTGGACATCGTGACCGATCGACGGACCGTCCGGTCAACGAAGCGATTTACCAAAGAACGTTTAAATCGAAGGCTTCGACGCGGAGGTGGTGAGTTTATTTGTTTGCACGCTTTTGCGCGCGGACGTTCCTTTATTGAGGATTAGCCGTATTGTTCATTGGAATGTGAAGTATAAGTGGTAGAAGAAGTGGAAAAAATGTATGGACGATGTAGTAGAATGAAATGAGTAAAAGGGATTATTAAACTCTTTCGTACGTGTAACGATTTAATAACATTAATGAATTATTGAATTTGAAGATATCGTTTGTAAATTTTGATGTTATTAGTTGTAAGTGTCGTAAGTTGTAAAACACGATGACAACGAGTCGAAAAGTTATAGAAACTTCTTTTTTTTTTATTTGGAAGAATTTTACAATCAATTCTCATTGAATTATAAGTAAATTATTCTGGCGTGGTACTATAACGTGAATAATAAGTGTTTATCGTATGTTTGATTCTAGCTGAATCTAATGTTTAAATCTAATAGAAACTTAGTTGGAAAAGTAGTTAGTTTTTGTAAATTTTGAAATATTAGTGATTTTTGTTATACATTGACGTTATTGGCTACTGATCTGCGATTAGTGTATTTTAATCTATTATTTACTGTTACTATTTCCTTGGAGCATTTACATTTTCTCACTATTTAATTTTATAAGATTAATGTCGTAAGAATAACAGTCAATATGCAAGATAATATAGAGAAAGGAAACAGATGAGTAGAAGAAATAAAGAAAGTTAGAACGAGGTATAATTACTCGTTTACTCCATTTTTAGGTAAAAAGATAAAAAAGAGAATTTGCATGAATATAAATGGACGTTAAGAATGTATGAAAGAAGGAGAGAAAATTTCAGTGTCATGGCCATGACAATAGAAAAGAAAATTTATAAGCAAAAAACGTGTTTCATCAATCGTAAATAATAGAAGAAGGACAATAGAAGGAAAAGAGAATTAAAGTTATCGCTTAACATTGTTCAAAGAGACATGTAATAAATTAGTATGAAGTATAGGAAGTATGAAAGATAACGATACACAAATAAGCTAGGAAAACATCGTACAATGGCGAATAAAAAATGTAAAAAGTTAGGAGAGAATCGCGGAACAAGATAGAATGCACAGATGAATTTCTTTTTCAATTTCCTCTGCGAGAGAAATAGAATCTATGTTGTCACTGAGACAAGATTACAAATTCCAGGAAGCATTACAAAGTAAAAAGTTTCAGTGGCATTACGAAGATTAACTGAGTTTACAAACGACCGTAATGCAAAAACACTCTGACGAGTATCATAATAACCATTAAAGCCGATTATTTTCAAAGAGAAAGATTAGTAACAATGTTATCACGTCACTGATTAATTTACTAAATAAATTAAAAAGGAATAACAAAGAAAACAACCGTTTCTTTGGAATAATATAATACGTCGATTAATAAAATGTTTAATTGTACCCAAATATTTCATTTTATATAGCAAACCTTCTCTCCCAAATTTTATGTAAAAAATTCTTTTCTTTTTATAAAAAGCGCTCAAAAGAAAAGCAAAAAGAAGTGTGCAACAAGATCGCTACACTCTGCGCATAAACAAGGTTATATTTCTATTGTCGTAGCCACACAGACAAGATTCGCGTTCATCGGATCACGTCGATCTATTTCGTAGCGCGTCCTAAAATAAAAAAAGTCGAAGCTTGGAAAGAATCGTGCAACTCAACTGAGAACTATTCCACGTTGCTGCGGTTCCCGCAAGAAAGAAGATGTCAGCTGTCCGAAAAACGCGTCGATCCCTTTGATCATCCGGAACTCGGTACGTCCGGATCCGATTATCGATTTTAGACTCAATCAAATTCGACGTTCGTACCAGAACTCTCCAGAAAAATAACAGAAAGAATATCTTCCATATTGAACATATTGTACATAATGTAAAGAGAATCATCTTGACAGATCCTCTGATAAATCCGAAAGTAATATATTTTATAGTTTAATGATTGAAATACGATAGATTCCATACTCGAATAACATTAAAGGATCTAAAGCATTCTGACTGTAATTTTAACTCATTTGGAGCCAATGACGTAATACAAAGACAGAATACAGAATTTAAATCACTCATTTCTTCTTCTTCCTTCTCAATCACTTCCTTCTCAATCGTCTTAGAAAGAGATAAAATCTACATTGTTATTGCGACAAAATTATAAATTCTATTAACAGGAGCATTACGAAATCAAAATTTCGATAGTATTAAGATTAATCCTGAACTTACAAACATATGTCATGCTAAAAAGTATCGTATTAACCATTCAAATGAATTATCCTTCAAAAAGAATATTTAAAAAATCTCAAAGAGATTCTAAAGGATTTGTAAAAAAATTATAAAGAAATTATAAAAAAAATGATCTTCTTGCCTGAGCCAGGCAACGACATACCAGTTGTGTATAACTTATTCCCTCCTCCAACATAAAGAGGAATGAAAGACCCATTTTCCAAAAATCGTCTTATAACATCAATAGTTTCAAAAGAATCGAATAAAACTCGTATGGAAATCTAAAAGAAAGAAAAATCAGAAACTCACCCGAGGATGGTCCCATAATTTGATCCAAGCTACCACCATCAACCACTGCAGCCCGTTGCGATTCTGCCGAGCATAGCGTCCGGAAGGTACACGAAAAATTCGTGTCTATCGGTGATATATTTTGACTGTTTCACCGCGACATGACAAATTCACTCGACAGAGGAACACGACAGAAGTTGCTGGCGCGTCGCGCGGTCGTTGAATAATTCCTGTCTCTCCCCTTGGCGGGGGTCCGTCTTGTGGCGCGGAAAGCAGGCTGACAGGTAGCGG